TAGATGTTTAGTCAGAAGCAGGAGGTGGCCAAGACAGCGGAACCAGAGGAGCCTGGAGATTATTAGATAAAAGTAGTTCTCTCCAGTGTAGGAAATGCATGCTGAGTAAGATGGTTGCAAGGGTCTCCGTCACAGCTCAGGTACCCCCAGCAGATCATTCATGGATAAGCCCCCCAGTTCTTTGTGATTTATTTACTTATTTGACTTTTTAATCATTTTCTTCTTCCAAAAATTAAAGTGGACCTGCTCAAAATTCTATATGGAGTTTCCAGAATGCAAAACAGAGGACTTGAATTGGCCCAGTTGTGTAGTGTGGATGCAGGTCTTTTCATTAGAGAGGACAGCCGTCTTTTCAAACAGTTCCTTGATTTAGAGGCTTCATAGAATCATAAAACAGTGACGTTGGAAGGGCACTATGAGGCCGTCAAGTCCAACCCCCTGCTTGATGTAGGAATATAAATCAAAGGATATCTGTCAGATGGTTGTGTAAATTTTTCTTGAATGCTTCCAGAGTTGGAGCACTCACCACCTCTCAAGGTAATTGGTTCCATTGCCATACTGTTAGGAGGTTTTTCCTGACTTTCGGTCAAAATCTGGCTTCCTGTAACATGAGCCCATAGTTGCAATTCCTTCACTCTGGAAGGATCAAGAACAGATCTTGCCTTCTCAAATATAACAGATCTTGCCCCTCCTATGAATGATAGGCTTTCAAATATTTGAAAAGTAGTATCATATCTCCTTTTAGCCTTCTTTTCTCAAGGCAGAACATGCCCAATTCTTTCAGTCTTTTTTCATAGGGTTTGATTTTCAGCCTTGTTGCCCTCTTAACGTCTTCCAATTTGTCAGCATCCTTCTTGAAATGTGGTGTCCAGAACTGGACACAGTACTCAAGGTGATGCCTAACCAGTGCTGAATAGAGAGGGACTAGTACCTCGTGGGATTTGGAAACTGTATACAGTGGTGCCTCGCATTACGACGTTAATTCATTCCAGCTAAACCGCTCTAGAATGAAAATGTCGTAAAGCGAAAATAAAAAAGCCATTGAAACGCATTAAAACCTGGTTAATGCGTTCCAATTGGCTAAGAACTCACCGTCCAGCGAAGATCTTCCATAGGGGCAGCCATTTTCGGGTGCCTATGCAGCGAAAAATGGCTCCTAAACACAGTGGGGAGCCATTTTGAGCACCCGGTGGCCATTTTGAAAACCCGACGATCAGCTGTTTTGATCGTAAGGAAGCGAAAATCGGTTCCTGAAACAGGGAACCGATCATCGCGCAGCGAAATTCCCCCATTCAAAAACCTCGTCGTAATGCGGATTCGTCATTAAACGGAGCGCTCGTCTTGAGAGGTACCACTGTACTTCTGTTAATGCAGCCTAAAAGAGCATTTGCCTTTTTTGTAGCCACATCACACTGTTTGCTCATATCCAGCTTATGATCTATGGTAATTCCAAGATCCTTCTCGCTCGTAGTTTTGCTGTGCCAGGTATCCTCCATCTTGTAACTGTGCATTTTTTCCTTTTTCCGAGGTGCAGTACTTTGCACTTATCCGTGCTGAATTTCATTCTTTTGTTTTCAGCCCAGTGCTTAAGCCTATCTAGATCATTTTGAATTTTGTTTCTGTCTTCCAGGGTGTTAGCTATTTTACCCCATTTTGTGTCATCCGCAAATTTGATTAGCATTCCCTGAACCCCCTGATCTAGGCTGTTAATAAAAATGTTGAAGAGCCCTGGACCCAGGACTGAGCCACACTGCCAGGGGTGGCTAGTCGACCATGAGCTCCGGAGCAGTAGGAAGGGAGTGCGGAGCCGGTAGCAATAGAGGTAGTATGAGTGGATCCTTGTTATATCCACCTATGTGGATATAACTTTAGGGGTGAGTGCTCTAGCAGTGGAGGCATTTAAGAGAAACTTAGACAACCACCTGGCAGATATACTCTCCCCCCCATATTACCACATTGAGCAGGGGGTTGGACTTCATGATCTTATAAGTCTCTTCCAACTTCATTATTCTATGAGTCTCTTTCTGAGTTGTTTCTCTCTTGCTCATTTTGTCAGATCCTAATCTGCTGATCTTTTGGATTTCTGCAGATCTTTGGCTTAGCATGTTGTCAGAATTGTCCCAGTACGGTTCTGCAAACAGATTGTTTCTGTGTTTCCAATGATACAGCCTGCATTGTATAATACTTGTGCAGGCTTTTGTTTAGAAGGAGGCTCATAGAGATACGTACAAAGAAATTAACAAAGCCACAGAAGGATGTCTCTGTTTCTTTTTCATCTTAGTACATGGATCATGTAAAGCAGGAGTAAGAAATCTAAATTGCTAAACTGCAAATTTCATTTATTTCTTGCCCTTGAGCAGGACTGGGGCTGAAAAGAATTGGAGACCAACCCTATTTTGAGTGTGACAGGTTTTCTGACCCAGATGTATTGTAAGTGAGACCAAAAACCCTCCCAAGGGCTGAACTGGTCACAAGGCAGGTCTATTGTATTTGGTCTAATTAATTCAATGCATTGTTGTTCTGTAACTGTTCTTAGACGCATTTTCTAACTTCAAAATATGCACCAGAGAAAAGGATTCTATGTTAAAATTTATATGTGTGCGTACATTCAGTATCACATAATACTTTCTCATGTTGCTTGCCTTAAATGTTGTCAACAGCTTGCCTTTCCTTGCAGGGTTTGGATTTTGTTACGCAAGGTGAAGGGGAGGTGGCAGGAGCAGATGTGCAGGACTTGTGAAAGATCTCAAAGTGGGAAACCTCTTTTATTTGTTTCAGAAAAGAGCTGTAGAAACAAAATTTAGTTTGTGTTTCAGTAATAATGCCCTCCCCTCCACCGACTTGGGCAAGGAGGGGCGGGTTTGGGCTTCCGACCCATCCCTACCTCTGACCCCAAAGAAGCCTCTGCATAGGCATATACCAGATATTATTTTTAAAAGCCAATTTAAAAACTGGCTATTCAGGCAGGCCTTCCCTCCGGACACTATTTGATCCATCTTCTTGTTTGTCCACCTTGAATGACTTTATTCTTGACAGTGATGTTATTTTAACTGTTTATTTTGTATGATGTACACCGCCCAGAGTAGTCAAATGAGTATATGGGCAGGATATAAATATAATAAATAAAGAAATAAAGAAAGGATGAAGCACCCATCTCTAGTGATAATCTATCCACGTTACTGAAAATCTTGATTTCTCAATCACAGTGGTTCTATTTGCATAACCTGAGTCTTCTTCAGCTTGGATATATGAAGTATCTGGAACTGAAATCCAGCTTATGGTTAAATGTTTTTATTTGGAACTATACTATACCATTTCTCAAATTTTGTATTAGAGCAGTGTCAATGGGCTGGATCTAATTCAAGGGAGAGATGCCTCCATTAGGCACCAGGATAAAACTAACCAAATGGGGGTAGAGCAGTGGAGCAGTGATGTATATGGGACGTTTTTCAAATCCTGGCAATTATTTTCACCAGAAGGAGGCTCGGAGGGAACAGTGAGGCTGTAATATAAAGTCATTGGTTTTGAGTATAAGGAGGGGTATCAATTAATGTTTGACGCTGTGAGTGCGACTGTAAGCAACATTAAAACTCAATAAAATTTAAATAGAAAAGCATAATGGCTGCACTGATAGATGGCTGGCTGAGCAACGCTCCCTTCCATTAGGTAATTGATGTGTTTTGTTCTTCAGGCTCGGGTATTAACACCTAGGCCTGCTCTCAAATATGTATGAAGTAGCCCTTGCACCCTGAAAATAAACGTGTTCTGAACCTAGCATCCCCCAGCCTGGTTTGCTTCATACATGTTAAGACTATGGCTATTACTGGCCTGCCTTTCCCAGTGTTCCATTCCCATTGAGCATGGAAAACGTGGAGCATTTCAAGGAGGGACCTTAATGGGCCATTGTGTTTTTGGAGTATCCTCAGCCTGAAGGAGCTTCTGTTTGAGTTCTGAGGAAGACAGAAAGCCACAGTTGCCTCGGGAGGTTTACTGTGCAGTGGTGCCTCGCATAGCAATGATAATCTGTGCAGCAAAAATTGTCGCTATGCGGATTCGTTGCTATGCGAAAAAAAGCCCATAGGAATGAATTAAAACCTGTTTAATGTGTTCCTATGGGCAAAAAACTCACCTTTAAGTGAAAATCCTCCATATGGCTGCCATTTTTGCTGCCCAGTAAGCGAGGAATCCAGGCAAAAACACAGCGGGCGGCCATTTTTTTAACCCATCAGCCATTTTGGAACCGCTGATCAGCTGTTGGGAAATCATCGCTATGCGAAAATCGGTAAGTGAAACAGCTTACCGATCATCGCAAAGCGATATTTTCCCGTTAAAAACATCGCAATGCAATCGCAAAAACGTAATCGCTATGCGGATTCGTCGTTAAACTGGACGCCCGTTAAGCGAGGCACCACTGTATAGATGTGATGCAGCATGATAGCATATAGCAAAAAACAAAACAAAACACAGATGTCTTCATATCCTGTCCCTTGACACCCTTGAGTCCAGCTGGGTGTGGTTCTTTGAGGTGTAGCATTCAGGGAAGGGCACACTTTCCCACCCACAGCAGAAGGGATACCTTGACCTAGGCAAGTCATTTTTGCCGCCTAGCTTCCCTATCCTGAAACCAACAGGATGATAAATAAACAGTCACCTTTTGACAAAGCTTGGCAATGTTTGCTGAAATCTTGTACGCAAAAGGTGTAATAGTCAGGAGCTATGTCAGATTCTAGAGTTTATTGTCCGAAAAGTAGTGTTTTCAGGCTCTGCTTCTCGAAGATTCATGTCCTTCTTATGCTTGTGGCGCAAACAGTTCCTTCCTTCACTGCTTCCTAAAGGTTCTTAAACCTCCATAATTTCCACAGACTTGTGGTGTCTCAAGGAATAATTATGCAAACATCCTTGCATAAGATCAACAATTTTGATTTCATTAGCAGCTGATAACTTTGACAAAGCACCAGCAGGATCTCATACGGATGAGACCTAAAAAGGGCCCATGAAATATTTATTCCTTCCTGTGTTTGCCTATATACTGTACTGTACCTGAAAAACTAATTTTATTGGTCTTGTGTCCTGGACAGATTTTCTCCATCTTTGCATTTGCTACCTGTGGAGGTTACAGTGGAAAAACAGCCCTTTCCTTCGCTTGTCCTAATGGCACAGATTTAACTCTGGAGACTAATTTTGCCTACCCTTTCAGGTAAGAGCTTTTATCCCTCTGAGGGAGACTGGAACTCTTTTTCCCACAGTGGCACTTCTAAACGGTTTCCATAGGAAAGTACTTCATCCTTCAGAGTGTTTTCTGTAAACCTACAGTGCCAAATGTAGGCAGACACGGCTGTTTCCAGTTTAAAGGGAGGGGTCTGAGGCAAAAAGTTCCTGGTCCAAAATTCCTTTAAAAAAAACAACTATAAATCCCAGAATCCTCCCCCCCCCCGTGTCTCAGTTTTTATAAAAATGACATAGAATACTGGCAAAGAGAACAACTTGTTGTGGCGTTCACCCTAAGTTATGCATTATTCATATGTTATGTGTTAATACGGTTGTGAGGCGGGGCCAAAGGGGCTGCTGAAGAGGTGGAGCCTGGGAGAGAAGAGGCGGAGTCAGAGAGTGCTCAAGGATAGTTTGGGGTTTTGAGGAAGAGGGTATTTAAGGAGTGATTAGGTAGTGATTAGTCAGAGTATGACCTGGGTTAATTAATATAGAAGAGATTAAAGAAAAAGATTGAAGCTTTATGAAACTTTAAGAATGTGCTTAAGAATTATACCTGAAACCATGTGTAATCAATAAACTTGTTTCTGTTAAAAAGTCAGTACTGAATGGACCTTAGTCTTTCATAAGAAATACAAGTTGATAAAGAGATCAACTGGTGGCAGCGTATCAAGAGGCGTGTTGGGATACTTTCATGAGCTCTGGGTTTGGTGAAACAAGCAGGGGCCACGGCGTAAACATCACACTTGTCTTTGACATCAGAGACGTTGTCCTCTGTCAGTATTCTGTGTCATTTTTATTGTATACAGTGGTGCCTCGCTGAACGATGTTAAGTCGTTCCAGCGAAATCACTGTAGAGCGAAAACGTCGTAAAGCGAAAATAAAAAACCCATTGAAACGCATTAAAACCCGGTTAATGCGCTCCAGCGGGCTAAAAACTCATGGTCCAGCGAAGATCCTTCATATGGCGGCCATGGGCTAAAAGCTCACGGTCCAGTGAAGATCATATGGCGGCCATTTTTGCTGCTTGTATAGCGAGGAATCCATCCCTAAGCACAGCGGAGAGCCATTTTGAGCTCCTGGCGGCCATTTTGAAAACCCGACAGTCAGCTGTTTTGATCGTCGTAATGCAAAGAATCTGTTCCCGAAGCAGGGAACCGATCTTCGCAAAGCGAAAAAACCCCATTTAAAACATCGTTATAAAGCAGATTTGTCGTAATGCGGGCAATCGGCAATCGTTAAGCGGGGCACGACTGTACTTGCAATCAAGGCCTGTCTTTATTGAAGACATTGTTTCATTGCTTGTCAAGTCAAAGGTACTTCAAAGCAGCAATAGTGCTCCCATTAAACTCTGTTAACGAGGAGATGCCTGAATGTTGCAGTCTTGACAAGGGTGGCTAAAAACAAAAGAAGAAAAATGCCAGAAATTAAATGGCATGGAGGTGGGGAATAAGCGTGTAAAGGTGGGAGGCCGGGCAAATTAATGGGAAAGAGGCAGGTAACGACATTTAAAGAGGGAAGCCTGACGTCCCTTGAGCCTTCCTTCATCTCCTGTGCATCTGCTTTATACTGCTCATGTGTTTTGAATCCTGCAGTAGTCACAATGCCTAGAAACATGCTTTAAAAGAATGCAAACTTCTCTGGGCTTAACTGATTTCCTGTCTCTAAATTTCTATGAAAAATGGTCTCCGAGGGATGATATGGATAATGCTAATAGCTGTTGAGGCAGAGGATTGATATCAGGAAAATGAAGTGAGAAATAAAGGGTTAGTTCCACCCCTCTCTTGTATTTTTAATAGTAAGGTAGAGGTTCTATAAGATATAATGATGCCTGTCTCATGTGTTGCCTAGTTTTGGTCCCCAGACATGGGATCTTTCAGCACAGTTGAACTTGAACCCTTGGTATTAGTTTTATAATATTTCCTGTTCATGGAGAATCTTAAAAATAGAAGAGTTCTAAAATCCTCCTGTTTGCTGTCCTGAACTTAAGGTTGAATAAGGTGACCCTCGGCCCTGTGGACACAAAGAGATGCAACTCCACCTGGGAAAAGCCAGTCTTCCTGGTGGGCGACTTCTCCTCCTCTGCCCAGTTCTTCGTCACCTTTGCTGTCTTGGTGTTTCTGTACTGCATGGCTGCCTTGGTGCTATACTTGGGGTATCTGCAGTTATATCGGGGTGCTGGGAAACTCCCCATGATTGTAAGTGGACAACTTCTTTGTTTTCCCCTTTCTTTTTCTTCATTTGGAAAAATATATGCATTTTTTATCCATTTATCTTGAATATTGAAGCCAGAAAGGTGCAGTTGCAGCAGGCTAAGACCTTTTTCACCATCAGATCTTCTGACAATTGACGGGCTTCTGGGAACAGACTTTTTAGCTAAGTGGTTTAGCTGTCTGGCTGTGGAGGCAGAAGTTGGGAGTTTGATTCCCCTCTGGGCCTTCTTGACAGGGGTTGGACTTGATAATCCATAGGGCCCCTTCTTGCTCAGCAGTTTTAAGATTATATTATTCTAAGATTAACAAGGGGTTGATGGGGTGAGGTAATTTTTAATGGTTGGTTTTAGCATTGTTTTAAATTCAATTTAGCTCTCAATGCTGCAATTTATTTCATTGTGCTTTAATGTTATAATGTATGATCTTTTTCTTATAAGTAAGTAGTTCTCTTAGTGAATAAATAAAGTTCTTTGTGGACAACTGATCTGTGCTTCTTAAAAGAAAGAAATAATCGACCTGGTATAGCTGTAAAATTACTGTCTTTTTCCAAAGCATATTTTTAAAATCACTATAAGAGTGATCACCATTTCTTCTTAATCACATTCAAATTCAGATTCATGTTTAGCGTTCTTTGTGGACAACTGATCTGTGCTTCTTAAAAGAAAGAAATAATCGACCTGGTATAGCTGTAAAATTACTGTCTTTTTCCAAAGCATATTTTTAAAATCACTATAAGAGTGATCACCATTTCTTCTTAATCACATTCAAATTCAGATTCATGTTTAGCATATAAATAAAGACACAGCCTTGAATTC